ATCGATTATAATAATGTAAATAATAAATACTTTGATGCAAAGTTTTATTTTAATTACAATTTCTTTTGAAAGAATTTATTTTTATAAAATATGAGTGGTACTAACATTTCTATATTTAAATATATATATAGATACATATATATATATATAATTGGCCAAGAGAAGATCAATTAAATTTGCAGTCACTTTATGATCGTATAATAAAATAAATATAATAATTTTTTTTTTTTATAAAATATTATAATTTTAAATTTTCATCAAAACAAAAATAAACTAATATATAAATGTTATAAAATATTAAAATACAAACAAAATTATATGCACATATAATTTATAAATACTTAATTACTTACAATGAATATAATAATCATTATATGTAATAAATAAGGTAGGAATGTGGATGATTGAATTGTGACTAAAAAGTAATTTTTCTTCTTAATTAAGTGAGAATAAATATAAAATGATTATAACTACATCGGAGAGATTAAATTTTAAAGATTTTTGTATACGTGTATGACTTTTTGTGATGATCAGATCGGTTTATATATAGTGCTAAATAGTAGCTGCTGATTTAATTGCTGAAAACAAGGCAGATTGTTCATTTTTTCATATACATTTATATATGATATATTTAAAATCAAACTATTTACATAATAAATATTTAAAAAAAAAGGTTCTCCAAAATATTCATGAAAATATTATTATCGCTAAAAATGATGCTCAATATTTAGAAAAACAATATTACAATGGATTATTTAAATTAACATTTTCACTTTATAAAATTGTTTTTGTTATAATTAAATAATATCAAAATTTTAATTATAATAAATAATAAATTATTTTGTTATAATTAAATAATATTTATATTTTATTATTTTAATAACAAAGCATAAAAAAGAAAATCAATTTAAATAGAAACATAAGACTGGTAAAAATATTAATTGAAATATGAATGATTTTAGTTAATTAAATTAAAATAATATTAATATATATAGTAAATATTATATTACATATATAAATGTGTTCTATATATTCTATATATAGAAACATAAGACTGGTAAATGTTAATAGTAAGTAATTAAATGTAATAACATTAAATTATAATAATATTAATACATATAATAATAATATATAATATAATATTAATATATATAATAATAATATAATAATCTTAAGATTTTAATAATAAGGTATTAAAAATAACATCAATTTAAATAGAAACATAAGACTGGTAAATGTTAATTAAATTATAATAATATTAATACATATAATAATAATATATAATATAATATTAATATATATAATAATAATATAATAATCTTAAGATTTTAATAATAAGGTATTAAAAATAACATCAATTTAAATAGAAACATAAGACTGGTAAATGTTAATTAAATTATAATAATATTAATACATATAATAATAATATATAATATAATATTAATATATATAATAATAATATAATATAATATAATAATTTTTAATAATAAGGTATTAAAAAGAAGATCAATTTAAATAGAAACATAAGACTGGATATAGGATATTATAATAATGTAGCTTATATTCAATTATTTATAATTACAAATTATTTTTGATATATAGCAACCACATAAGCATAGTATTAATTTTGTTGTCACTAAAACTATTTTTATTTAAATATGTATAAGACGATTAATACAAAACCTGAACTAATATTATAACAAATATGTACTTCCAACTTCGAGGATAAAAAAGCATTAAGATTATTTTAAAAATATGAAAATAGTCACAAATAATTGTTTGGCTTGATAATTTAATGAATTGGATTAAAAAAAATCAACTTCATATTCTTCATATTTTCACACTAATTTTTATTTAGTTTAGACTAGAATTCAAAATTAATGGTTAAAACGTTGTATATTGAAAATTAAGGGTTTTTTATGAAAAAAGAACTTATATAGAAAATAGTCCCGATACTCAGTTATATACCTAATCTGTAGCAATATGGTATAAATTACTTTTAATAAGAAAGAGTAACAAAGATTATTATATAATAAATACACTATCAATTAAAAGTAAACGTAAAACACTTAAATATATTCGGAATAATTTATTAAAATAACTTTTCATCTTTGTTTTTTCAAATAATTACTACTTCAGAAGCCGTCAGTATTGTTGAAGGCCTAACTTATTTGTAAATTTGGAATAGCAATTCAAATATTATTCAAAGTTTCGAAAATTCGAATATGCTAGTTTCTTATATAAGTTCGAACACCGTATTATATTCGATCATTTTCTGTTCTGCATGTTTTTATATAACAAAAATAAAACACATGAAATTTTAACCAGATTCTCTGTTCAAATGACTCGAGTATTTTCGAGCAGCTCGAACATTTGAATTGTTTGATCAAAATGTTCGAATTCAAAAATATACTCGAGTACTATAAATTTTGAACATCCTTGCAGCACTACCTTACAAGGTTAACTTGTTGCAGTAAGACATTGAGAATAAAATGTACCTTATATATATATAATAACTCAAAAGAGCTAAAATATAAACTGAGTCTCTCAAGTTCTAGTCTCTCTTACGCCTAATTGCTATTATATAGGCTTTTGAACCAAAACTAGATCGTAAGTGAAAACGAAACTAAAAAATATGTATCGGTCTTTCTAGTTCAATTTCTTGCAGTTCTGTGTCTTCGTATTCACCCACATTATTCCCTAGTTGCGAAAATATTAATAAATTAAAAGTTAAAGTTCTTATTGAGTTGAACCCACTAACACCCCATCTTAGGAATGCCAAATGAATGGTAATGAACAAATGCTGGAACTACATTCCAATAACGAAAGAAAAGTTCTTTGAAAAGAGAAAACTTAGTACTTAAATAATAAATATGTCTAAGCCAACAACAATATTTTTTTATACATAGAAGTTCATATTTTTATTTAATAAATTCGTTACTATATATTTTTAAAAGAATAAATTTAAATAGGCAAAACAAAAATGATTTTTAATGCAAATATGTATAGAAAATTTTTTCTTGGACTTAAATTGAAAAAAAACGTTATTTTTAGTCAGAACTAAAAACGAACCGATATAATTGCTTATATATAAATAAATTTCCGGTTCAATGCCCTGACATTATACATACTCAGCCATATTTTACCACTAAATTGATAAAAAAAATGACCAGTAATTATATTATAATATTTTATAATACATATATTATACTACATTATATAAAATTACATCATATTATATATTATATCATATTATATAATACATTATGTATTATATCATATTGTGTGCTAAATTGTATAATATAATATAATATATTATATGTTCTATCATGTTATTTTATATTACCTTTTATTATATTTTATGTTATACTATTTATTAAATTATATGATATATTGTATCGTATTATATTAATTTATGTTATATACTATATCATATTATATTATGTATTATATTTATACTATTTATTACATTATGTCGTATTATATTATATTATTCATTACACCATATTATAGTATAGTAGTGTAGTATTTTAGCTTTATTTATAATTTCATTTTTAAATTTGTTGTATTACATTAAAATTTATAAACGTATAATTATATATATAAGACTTCCAACCAACCAATCATAATTATTAAATAAAAATTAATATTAATAAATTGAATTATTAAATATAAATATTAAATAAAATTAGTATAACATGATTTATTACGTTTTATTTATTTTGAAAATTTCCATTAATTACAGTTTTCCAATAATATAACGTATTTTTAATAAAAACCGTTATTAATCTTTCATAGAATATATTCAGTATTTGCAGTTTCATATTCCATTATATTACACTTTATGTTATGTTATATTATATTATTTATTTTATCAAATTGAGTTATGTCATATTATATCATATTACATATTATATCATATTGTATTTTATATTACTTTATTTATTTTATTATATCATATATTATATTATATTACATTATATTTTATCATTACATATTATATTGTACATCATATTATATATTATTTTATATTATATTATACTATATTATATTATATTATACCCCATTATATTATATTATATTATACCCCATTATATTATATTATATTATACCCCATTATATTATATTATATTATACCCCATTATATTATATTATAAATTATTTAAAATTCGACTAATAAATTATTGTATTAGTTATTTTATAGCTATTAGTTAAATGAAATTTAAGCTTGTTAAAGCGTCTGCACTATCATTTTCCTAAGAATCGGAGTTTTGACTTGAAAAATTTCCTTTTGTTGGATTTTAAAAAATAAGGTAAATTCCATTTTCAATAAACAAAAATAAAAAAAAAAGAATTAAAAAATAAGCCTATATTCAAGTACACAATCATGTCTGAATATAAATAAATGCGAACTATAAAAATCATGTTGACTCCGAACGATTTTTTTTATTAATTGAATATTTTTGTGAAGATGAAAATTTGAATAAGTTCTATATACACTAAAAAATTAGCACTATGTACTAGCCACATTGTTCCGATTATCAAATTAGTAGAATATTAGTCAGTATAAAATTGGCATATATCTTTGTTTTTTTGTTTTGTCAATTGAATAGGTTTTAAAACTAATAGGTAGCAATTTTTGTTTGTAATTATAAACAATTAAAATATAATGCATACAAATAATTATATTAATAACTAAACTTTTGTTATATGTGCAATTTAAAAAAAAAAAATTCAGATATTTTATAAAAAAAAAAATTACTTAAAACAATTCACAATTTCGAGAGAAAGAAATTACAATTTTCTTAGAAAATAATTAACAAATTTTGCTTCAATTAAATTACAACTAACATTGAATGTGTACGTACGAATATATAATACAAATGTATATTCATTAAAATAAATTAATACATAATATTTTCCATCTTCTTCGTTTCAAGGATTTCTTAAAAACTAACACATGTTCTATATATACTATATACTAATTTACTTAAAACGGGTTAATCGAGTGACCTTTATTATCTAATTTAAAATATTAGAACGTATTTGTATTACATAAATTATGCAAATAATGGATAATGCTCTTTTAGATGTAGACTTTTTTTGAACTTATTAACATCTATGACCACGGATTTATATTTCCCCGAAATTTACCGCGGAAACCGCCGCGTGGTGTGTTGTTATTCATTCGCATGCCACGATAGGCAAATGGACTAGCGTTATGCTGACCGCCGCGATTTCCACGTGGGCTATATCCTCGGTATTGATATTGTGATGGGTTTACCCAGCCGCGTCCACGACCTCGTGGAGTACTGCCATCATTTATACCATTTCCTACTCCGTTACTATATTCGGAGCCATAATCATTAACATTGCCCATATATTCATCAGATCCATAATCTGTACAGTAATCGTTACCGTATTCCCCCCCATTACCGTTTCCATATTGCAATTGGAAAGGTAAAGGTGGTCTAGGTGGTGGCGGTACGCACACACTTGTACTTGCACCAGTATTATTTCCATTACCATTCCAACCCAAATGCATGGGATTCCAGTCCTGTTGATATGGCATTTCTGTATTTGAATTTTGGACCATGTAGTTCGATGTATTCGGTTGGTTTCCTGTAGTCGAGTTCCAAATACTTTGCGGCACATACTCATTGGGAGTTTCTAATAATACTGAACGATTGTTGTCAGTAGCATTACTTTGAGTTTCTTTAACATCCTGAAATAAGTCTTCGTTTTCACTTGATGGTTCTGGAAACGGAATTTGTTGCTTATTTTGTTCAGCTACTTCTGTAAAGATCAGATAAGAATAATTTCGAAACTTCGTATTATTTATTAAAAAATTTATTTATAATTTATTTTCAGATTTAAAGCGCAATAAATCGAAAACGAAGCAATATTGACATAAATTAGTGACCAAGTACCGTTCGATACCTCCAATAAGGACTTTACAAGCAGGTGCCAGCGAGTTACCACAACAACAACTAAGATCAGTTATGAAATGGGTATGCTCGGAAACCGGAATCGTGCCAACATTTTTATATATAACAAACATAATTAAGACTAATAGTGTAAATACTTTTTAACTTGAACATCTTCAACATACATTATATGACTGCAAAAATATGTTAGTGTATATATAATATTATATAATATAATAACGCTTTTTCAGATAATAGTAGCCATTCATTACATATTGTATCCAAGCTATAAACTAATTATGTTTTTTTTTTGTATGTGCTAACATGAACATTTATTTTTTAGGGAAATTTATTTTTAAGGGTTGAATTCGACATTTTTCCTCTAAATGAGCTGATTTATTAATAATGAGCTCATTAATACAAAAGTTCATATCAAATGCAATATTGTTGTTGTCTTCAAAGTAAAATAAAAATTTAAAAATGTTTTCACGGTAATAAGGATTTATATATCTCTTCACGTTACTCTAATCAGTATTGCGCACTATTGGATGTTAATAAAAACCATCAAAATAGTAGTAATAGTATAACCTTGACTATTGGGATTTTACTGTCTGCATAACATGCATTTGTTTACTAATAAATTTTTAAAAATGCAGTCCTAAGAGTCTTAAGTTTTCAGCTGTAAGGATAATATAATATAATATGTGATTTATTTGTAATTAAATATGCATGTAAACCGATTTCATAGTCCAAAACACTGTCAGACAAAAAATAATAACTACTTAAAAACAGAAATGTTGCAATTTAATTTAACACGAATGTAAGGACTCCTAGTCCTTACTAAAGTACTACATAAGAGCTCGGCATTGCGAATATTATAAGAATCTAGGAATGAAATATTTCTGAGAAGTTAGGAGTAAGGGGAATGCAATATAATTTGTATTCGCATAGGAAATTTCAATAGGTATTAGAGGTGGAGATCATTCCTCCACCTGTAACGTGGTCATTTAATTTTAATTTTATATTAACAGACTAACAAATAATAATTTAACTCGATTAAAATAAAATCAATAATGTATACGGTTTCCGATAACTTGTTTTTTACTATAAATTTAATATACCCTTTGTACACCATATGTGTGAAAAACATAAAAAAATAATTAAATAAAATCTAAAGAAAAACAGGATTCAGTCAATTAAAACACTTTTAAAAACCAACCTCTTATAATTTCATCCAAATCTTCATCTGACATATCCATATCAATAACCATATCAATTGGATCATGCGGTGCACTGATTTCTTCCTTTTGAGATTCCGATGATGAACCTAGTTTTAGAATAAATTGAAAAACATTGAAATAAAATATAAAAACAAATGAAAAAAAAAAATTTAATGTTTTTGAAAGGTGTTAGAAAAAGCCACAAAATAGTAATTTGGCTTTTAAACTGAACCGGATTTCACATTCAGCAACCTTGTCATCTCCACCAAAAAAATATTTATGGTATTTTCTGTTGTGTGTTAATTTCATTTTGATTAAATTTGCTTTAAAACTTACTCGCATTGCTTCTTTGCGGAGGTGATTTATTTAAGTTTAAAATAATTGAAGGTATCTTTGGAAAGAGATTGGTTAAAATAATATTTTATTACTTAACGATTATTATACGTACTTTAGTAGGCGAAGTATTGGGAGAGGATATATGATTGACTTCATTCATCTTCTGAATTTTTGCTGGTCCAGTTCGATAATCTATATCGCCCGTTTTATTTGTCTGAAAACTCTGAAAAATAAGCAATCAAGACTTTTATCACTTTTTAAATCCAAAATATTTACTTGTTCTGCAGAGAGCCATGAATTCTTATCACCATCACTCGATATAGGTGATCCTGTTAATGATATTAAGTTTCTGTGATCTATATCTAACTGTCGATTTGGATCTGTGAAATAAGTTAATTTTGAGCATATTTAATATTCAACTTTTAATATAACAAACCTTTGCCTAATGCAAGTTTAGCTGTGGCACTTAAATTAACTTTGCGATGGTCAACATCTTGCACAGATATTAAATCCGAATCGTTTTCTGTATATTCAATGGTTGATGAATTAGAACTATGAGCTTCACGCTCAAAATGGGGGGGAGAAACTGGAGTTTCTAAAGTGCTCGATGTAGTCCATGATAAATTCCAAGAACTGAAGTTATTTGAAGTATTTGTTTGTGAACCATTCCCTACATCTGTTCTTGATGTTGACAGTATTGGCGGAGGTGGTGGCATTAGCGGTTTTCCAAGATTTGAACAATTTGAGGTACCATAAGAACCGCTTTCACTATTATTATTATTGTAATTATTTGTTGAATATGTGGGAACGTGCGGTGAGTAACCACTGCTATACTGCGCATTATTATACTGTTGGGGTGTTCGTGCCAGTGATGCGTATTCAGACTGAACGGGTGGCACAGGCATAGGATTGTGATAAGTGCTGAGTGGTTCCGGTTTGTAGTATTCACCACTTGAATTAAAACTTTCATCATCAGAACGTGAACTAATAACTTCAATAGGCTGACCTTATGGAACAAATATCAGAGAAAGACGTATGTTATTATCATAGTCTGCCATCATAGTTTTTTTTTCCTAATTTTATTTTTTGTTTGAACAATTTTAAAACCTACACTGTGAGAATAAGGATGAATCATGAAAAGGATTTTGCAAATATTTAGCAAAAATCAAATATCTGATACAGAAATAGATATTTTTGATACTTATATGAAGTTGTGGTTTCTGTTGCTCACAATGATCTATATGCATGAGTTAAGATGTGGATGGGTGATAGTAGTGTGAGAGGTGAGGAAATTATTTAGAAGTAAAAAGGAAATGGGTGGAATTTAAATTGAAGTCAACAGGATTAAAGACTAGTCACTTCTATGGACGAGTTCAAAAATGGATTGAAGTCAAGTTTGTGTGTGCATTGAAAAATAAAAACAGATGGGTGAAACTATGGAGGGTAGAGCTGTTGTTAGGGCACGCATTGGGAAGTACCATGTTTATGCGGGCTAAGTAACTGTTTAGCACATAGCTACATCTCATAGCTAAATCTCAAACGAGCTAGGACAGTTCTTATTGAACAGAAAAACCGTCGCTCTTCATAGAAGAAGAGTTAATTAAAAATTAAACCTTTTTAATTTAATTTAATTTTTTAGCCAATAATCAAACTAAGAAACGTTCACATTTCCTGGTGAACAGTGTTAGAACATATAATCATTAAGATATTTTGCACAAGCTTTAAGGAATAATAAAATAATGTTTATTATCATACTCATATCATACTCATGCTAAGTAAGAGAATTGCTAATTAAATTTCGAAAGCAGACCAATTCATCTAATTTAATAGTTCAGATTAATATAATAGAACAATTCACTTTTAGTTATTACAAATGAAAATTTCTCCACGACCGCAAATGTATTCCGACTTTTTACAGTCTTTTCCATTTAATATAATATATTAACTTCAATAAGACTGATTGACAACGTAAGTTTAAGTTGGAATCACAGTCTTACCCGCCAAAACCACTTTAGCGCATATAATGGCCCGCTATGATACTGCGGATGAGACACCGTTCATACACCAGATCTAAAGAGTCGCCTCAAAAAGAGAAGTTCCAAATTTTAGTGCAGGAATGTTGTCTATTTGAGAAGACACGCACCCTCCATTCAAGTAGAAGGGAAGCAACCTTTTCTATTGCACGTTTTTGACGTAGTAAGTGCAACGGATTTATCATAATTTGATTGACAAGACTTCAACTAATCATCCGACGAGATTATATACCAGAATATACAATTTACTTTTTTTAGTTTACATGTTATGAATTCTGATGATGATTTTATTCTGGGACTGGTTAGATTTAAAACCACTAGTTTTTTTAGGAAATTAAGTTCCAATCAGTCCTTTTAACAAGGACTCAAAAATTAAGAGTCTCATATTAATTACTACAATAATAAGATATGTTGGTTCCAAGAACGGCTGGGTCTACGTCTCGCAGCTATTCGTCGCTTTCGACACCACACCCTAAGGGACTACACAAGCAGATCCTTGCAGACTACAAGAAGAATATATTCACTTAATGGACAAAATACAAAAACAAAAACAATCGCAAAGATTTGCGATATGTAAACTAAAAATCCCTAGACTTGACAAACCTAAACAGTATAACTTTGTCGCTATTTAGCGCATAAGTGAACTTAAGTTCAATGCAGTTAGGAACTAATGATGGCATAATCAAATTAATTTTTACAAAAGAAAACCCCTGAGTTTGCATATAATCTATCTTTTATCATAATATCGAATTGCATTTCAAACAAGAATTGCCAGCAATATATAACAAGTAATAGTGATATTTGTATCTAAACTAATATGTTAGTTTATATGATATAAACGATCTTAAAGAAATTTATGGTAAATATAAAGCATTAATCATGTAATTCGCTTACTAAATATTGATTACAAATTTTTACAGGTAATGTTAATATTTACAAGGCTTGAATAAAATTAGATAGTCCTAATATACTTAGATGCTTAGGTTTAAACTTGGATATGCTCGCAAGCACATAATGTATATGTAATGTATATTGGTTACAATCGTCAATCTTATCAAAAATTCAAAAAATTTGAACTTATCGAAATAGATTTATAAATTGCGGTCAAACAATATATTGGCGACGAGGATTTCAAAATCAATTAAATTATTATTATTATTAAATTAAATTATTAATTAAAAATCATTAATTCATCCAATAGGTATGACGCAAAATGAAAATGAGTGTATTACTACTACGACCACTTCAGGTGTGCGGGAGTTTAGGCGGCAGATCGACAGTTGGTGTGACTGGGTGAAGATTTTAGACTTCCATGTTATTAAAACGGCATGTCAGGACGACAAAATTAAATGGACGGTCCTATTAAAAAACATAGGAATGGAGGTTTATGGACTGCTGCGGGACATCTGTGGTCGGTTACTGCCTGCAGCCAAAACGTATGCGCAAATTTTAAAATTGCAACTGCAATAATTGTGGACGTACAATGTGCATAAGGTTAAGTTGAGTCTTAAAGAAGACGCAACACCTGTTTTTTGCAAACCTAGGTCAGTGGCATTGGCTTGGCGTAAAGAAATCGAAAAGCAGATTCAGGAGGAGTGTGGTAAAGAGGAGTGTTCTAAAATTAATAAAAGATTCAGATTGGGGTACGCTGTTAGTACCAGTGTTAAAGACAAACGGTGAATTACGCATTTTTGCCGACTATAAGTTATATTATGTTAAGCCTTTTCCGAGTTAGTGCATCTGGGCACTTTTACTCTATGATAGCTGGGAGGATTCTGCAGAGTCCCACCCATCTCATTAACCAATTTGAATATTCCTGATAATCTTCATTATTATTCAATGATTGATCTAAGATCTCCGCACTGCCCCATGCGGTTAGTGTTTACTCTGAGATTAGATAGTGCTAAGTAGGGCAGCCTGTCGGTTTTCGCATATAGCTTCAGAGCTCTGTCCCTTATGTATTTTTTAACCGGATCTATTCTAAGGTCTCTTAGCATGTCATTCGTGCGGATGTACCATGGTACTTTAAAGAGCCTTCGGAGAGCCTGACTTTAAGCAACTTGTAGCTTTTGGATAGTAGAGTCGGCAACTTTGCTATACGCGATACACCCATAAGGTAGTGCTGCTCTAATTATCTGGCTGTAGATCTGCTTTCTGTTATTCATGCTAAGGTTGTTGTGTTTAAAAAGTGGTTGCAAGCAGTATAAGTCGAACAACAATAAGCACTTGTTGAATGTGAAATATCCGTAACATAAGATCAAAGAACTATTTGCTTCTCTAAAAGGACATTTCTTCACCAAGCTTGATTTGTCGAATGCGTACAATCAGCTTGAATTGGTAGAAGAGTCCCAACGGTTATGCGCATGCAGTACACATTTAGGCGTTTTTAAGATTATCTGGTTACCATTTAATGTTAAACCTGGTGCGTTCGTTTTTTAATTACATGGATGATATTCTTAGATCAGGAGATAGTGTTGAAGAACATAGTGACTTCATCAACAAAGTTTTAGAAATATTAGAGATTGCGTTTAGACGCTAATAAGTGTGTTATCTTTTAAGAAAAAAATTTCCTATTTAAGTTTTGATATTGATAAAAATGGTTTGTCTAAAAATCAAGATGGGATTTTAACAATCGTTAATGCTCCATTACCGAAAAAATTGACTGAAGTTCGCGCATTTATTGGAATAGTTAATTACTAGCCGTTATATGCATTGTTACGAAAGGCTGTTAAATTTAAGTGGACAGAATTATGTCATCATGTCTATGAAAATCTTAAAAAGGAAATAACATCCGATAGATTACTAGCTTTTGATTTTTATTACTTATTATTTTATTATTTATTTTATTATTACTGTCTTTTGAGCTATTAGTAAACCTAATATTATACGGATACGTTAATTGTCGCTATAGCCTGGACATTGTCCCACAGTTTTTTTAATGGTACAATTAAACCGGTCGCTTTCGTATCTCGAGCGCTTTCGACAGCTGAGTGAAATTTAGTGCTATTCAAAAGGAAGCACTAGTCATAGTATTTTTTGTAACTAAATTGCGACTTCATCTGCTTGGAAATAAGTTTATTTTGCAAACTGATCATAAGCCACTTTTATCAATTTTTGGTGAAAACAAGGGACTGCTAGTAATGGCAGCGGCTCGTATTGAGCGATGCGCTTTGACATTGTCTAGGTTTGATTATACCATCGCATATGTCAAGGAGTCAGAAAATTTTACAGATAATATTTCTCATATACTCAAAGCTACATCTCCTTCTGTAGATACGGATGATAATAGTTACATAAATTTTGTAACCAAAAACAATGAACTAAATTTAGATTTCAAAGTCATTTCACAAGAAACTGCTCGCGACCCTTGTTCAGTAATAGCCGCTATTGCAACTGGAAAGTTACATTTATTAAAAGACAAAATATTTTTGTCTTTTCAAACTAAAAATATAGAGCCTTCAATTGAGTGCGGATGTATATTATGGGGTTTTAGAAGCGTAAATCCTCGAACATTGAAAAACCATATTTTAAAACAATTACATACGTCTAATTTAGGCATTGTAAAGACGAAGGCTTTGGCTAGATTCTATGTTTGTTGGCCGAATATAGATAAAGATATAGTAGAGCTTATATATAACCGTGTTTTATGTAAAAAGGTAGTCCATTAATTCCGTGGCAAATGCCTAGCTCAGTATAGTCGCGCATTCACATTGATTTTGTCGGACCAGTGAGGAACGTTTACATTTTAGTTGTAGTCGAGGCATATGCTCCAAATGGGTAGAAATTTGTAAAACCAAACATATAACAATGGCGTTCACGATTGAGAAATTAAAAGAGTTATATTGTAGATATGGTTTAGTGGATACCATAGTGATAATGGAACCCAATTTACAGCATGGGAATTCCGACAATTTTTAAAAGATAATGACATTAAACACTTTCTTACACCTCCAGGGTTTTCAGCTACAAATCGGTAAGCCGAAAATTTTATTAATACTTTTAAAAAATAGCTTGAAGCAAGTTTGAGCTCTGGTGAAAAAGGTAGTTTAGATATAGTGCTCAAAAGATTTCTGTTTGATTATCGTACTATGAAACATTGTACAACAGGAGAATCTCCAGCTACATTTATGTTAGGTAGAGGAATGGAAACGCGATTCGTTTTACTAGTAAACCGTCACTACCACGGAGGAGGATGTGAATTTAGATAGTGGTACTTATCCATCCTAATAATAATTTGTTGATAAATATTTCATAATTATTATTATATAATTTATAATATTTAATTTATAATACATAATATATAATTTATAATGTATAATTTATAATATATAATTTATAATATATTATTTATAATATATAATTTATAATATATTATTTATAATACATAATTTATAATACATAAATACATAAATAAATATATAATTTTAAAATGATTTGCAATTATATTATATATGTATTTATATTTTATATCTTACTAATGTATATCGTGCATATTTATATAGATGTATAGTTATCATCTGAAAAAGAGGGCTGTAGAGTTTAAGCTTTTATAAAAATATAATAAGTTTTGTATAAGAGTAGAAAATAATAGAGTATAATAGTAAAGTTAGCTTGTTAATTTATAAATTATAATTAAATAATTAAAAACTAGTATTAATCCAAACCTAAACGTGAATGCTATAAATATAATTATATAATAAATTACTATATATATTATAGTATATTATATGATATAATACTAATTTAATATACTTCTCATTTTTATTACTTGGAGTTTTTGATGCGATGTCATCACTTTTGAAATCATTTATATCAAATGGTAAATTTCCGTCTAAATAACTTGTATATCCATTAAATGTACTTTTTATCATATTCTAAATAAAGAAAATTGGTTAAAATTTGGTTCGGTATTAAATTATATATAAATTTACTATTGATATCGATGACTGTTCATCAGGTAATTGCAAATCTGCATCTCGTTCTGGCGAAGGAGCATCGATATCAGGCGATGGTATAGGACTACACAAACTCGGTAATATATCGTCCAGTTTTTTTTTTACTTGTTTTACTCGAGATCCAAAGTTTTTATATGCCTAATACATATTCACATAAAACAATAGAATAAATAGTATTATAAAATAGTTAACTCATATAACTTCACTTACATTGACTACAACTTTGACTTCGCCTCGCTGATGTGTATAGAACTTAATAGCTGTTTCCAAATTAGAAAGTAATGCCTTCCTACTATTAATTTCGATTAACAAGTTAGAGTTATAGATTTCCAAACAATGTATAGACTGTAAAATATTTCTTATTATATCATCAGCATCTCGTTTATCTCTTAATTTTACTTTTACATCATCAGAATCATAATTAGGTCCTTTGGGAATATTTTTGAAACTCTTATCTGTGCAAGTTGACAAAGCCATACATTCTCGAATGTTACCAACAATGTTCGTATGCTGCAATGAAGTAAAAATTAACTATCAAAATATTATCTCTAAGATGCATACATACCTGAAAATCTGATATATCTATCGGGTTGCGAGTTTTTTTAAGGGGCTTTATATTTAATAACCCTCTTAAATCACTCAAGTATTCTTCATTATATACATCGCGTTCTTCCCATATATGAAATATTCTCAGTATTTTATTTTTGACTTTATCATCTCTGTAAAAAATGAATTATGTTATTTAAATGAATATATATATATATTCATATATAAATGTATATGCAAACATATTTTCCATATATACCTGACCATCGTTGTGGCTTTTTGTAATGCAGTTGCCCAACTTTCGACAAATTCATACTTTTTCCTTTTGCTATATTGAATAACATCATTGGCTAAGTAGAATAGTGTAAGTCTATGTTCAATATTCACTATAATATAAATTAAAAATGATTTATTTAAAACAATTTTTATACAAAACTTAAAGCAATAAAAAAAATATTAAAACGTTATAAAATGTACACTTTATTTTCAACATTTATAGCGACTAAAGTGTGACTTAGAAATACACCTTAAGCAAAACTGACGACATGCACATCTGTTTGTGAAATCCCTTACCATTCTCCCTTATTCGCCCCCCTACCTGCAACTATCACCAGTCCACATCCTTACCCATGTACTCATCTTGTAAACCTTTTCATTTTATCTGCTTTTAAGTTCCAGTGGATTACAAAAACAACAACAATATACATGTCTGCTTATTGGAAGCATCCCTTCCGTCCATCGATCCCTTTCTGTAGATCATGAATATATCGATACCTATTGCCATGAAGCTAACATCAGTGGGGTGGAATATAAACGTACACCTCCACTACAGCTCCACCATCCATAAGGTCGACCACCTGTTTTGCTGTTCCAATGTACACACAAACTTAACTCCAATCGATCTTTTACTCTCTGAGCGTTAAAACGACCAAAGCCCTCATCAGAACTTATACAAATTTGTTGAAAGCTCGAATTTCTATTAATATAAGGATTACGATTTGTACACACGGTTATTTATAGAGTAACTTTTTTTGAATTAAATAGCTGAGGTTGGAATGGCAGCCTTGTTTCCAAAGCTCACTTAGGCTCAAATAATGGCCGTTGTAGTACCACAGATGAGCGTTTGTATGTGTGCCATCTAGAGGTTGATGGACGATCAACACCGAAAGGCACAACACTGCCATTAGGGAAAGGTGAACCAACCTGACAGTTCTATAAATTTGGCTTAGTCCCTAATTTTGCAGGATGAAAGCCTGGTTAGGTCGGTAAGAAGAGGAGTTATGACGTTTTAAAATCTTCTTATAGCTATGGATAGTTATTCCTCCTCCTCATTCTCAGAGCCACAACTTTGACAAAAGTCATTATAAGGTCAACCTAGCTTCATAGCATGTCTTTCTATTACGCAGTCACACGTCAGATAAAATTGAACAAAGCTTTTTAAAGCATAGCTTTGTTTTTTGGATTATGTACATATCCTTTTAGATTTTTATAATTTTGAATTAAACATTGTAATTATTTTTTATTACAATACCTTAAATAAAAAAATATTCTATATTAGTAAAGTATATAAATAATAAGTTAATAATATAAATAAATAATAAGTAAATAAAATAAATTAATAATAAGTAAATAAAATATATAAATAATAAGTAAAAAAAATACGTAAAAAAGTAAAGAAAATATATTATTTTTGTATATTTTGGAGTCAATCGTTCCAAGATGACCAAGTGCTGCATACTGACACCAACAGCAAATGGCCCAAAGATACCCGAAGGGAGCATGTTCCAAAATATTTTATAGAGTAAATATTCAAAGTTTAAAATATTGAAATATAATGGATAATATTGAAATTGACTAAAATGGTTACTAAAATTAATCATAAGCCTGTCGCTTCATTTGCACATTTTTATTGTGTGATTTTAGAATAAGAGTTCAGAAAACATTAGGAAAAATACTTTATATTTTACAATTAGACAATTAAAGCATTTAACAAATTAATATACATTTAATGGTTAAAAAATAACTAAAATTGGGCAATTATCGTATAGATGAAAGGGATATAAAACTCTTTTGGTATTAATAAAGTTTTAATGAAAGGATAACTACTACAGGCAACAACAATTTGATTACAAATTCGAGCGAATAATAGGGTTCCCAGAAATAGTAGCGTCCATATAACATCTGAAAAATTAGGATTTCAACCAATCCTATATTTTCGTAAACTTTTTGTAAGACTTAGACATTTCCATACAATTTTAAAATATATAAATTATATTAAAAACTCGAAAAGTTCATAATTAGAAATAATAATGCGATTTATAATTTAATATTAAATTGATTTTTAACGTCCGTTTCGACGAAAGAAACTAAATTCTTAATAGAAACTATTGTTTTCAGTATAATATAAAACAATTTCGAATAGTGTTAAATCGCAATAATAAATTTTTAATATTTTATCAATTAATTGAATATTTGGCTGACCATAGAGCTGTTTCGAGTATTGCCAAATGCCCATTATAATTTAAACTATCCGTTGTCAGTGTCGAAAACGACTTAATGGTAGAACTATGAGAAATTTGAGTAGTCTCATATCCATGATAGTCAATCTTTTCCTAGTAAAGGATTATACAATTATTTACGTGTTAATTTCTAAGTAAATGGAAAGAGGTTTATGGATATTGTTTATATAGTAAACAAACAGTTTTGTCAAAGTTTCTTGTACTTTACTTAAAATTCGATAGTTCATTATCTTTCATATAACAGCCAAAATGATTCAAAAAATCAACTAAAAGAAGTAAGCTGTGATGTGTGGGATGTGCTATTTCAAAACCTACTTCAGCATTTATTACAAAATATTAATTACGTATAATATAATATTTTTAATATTAGCAGGTACTGAACTGTTAAGTGGCAGTAGCACAATAGATTCACTATTTACTTTGTAACTTTGTTAAGTCTTTCCATATTCATATTTAAATAGTAATTAACTTGTTTTTAAAAATAAATTATTTTATACATTTACCAAAAATTAAAAATATAGCAAATAAAGCGAACTTTAGTACAAATAATCATTTAAGCATAATTTTCAGGTCTGCTTTAAATGTATTTTTTTTTTGTGTGGGAATTGTTTGTTTTTGATGTTGTCTACCTTTTTTAAACACATTTAGCCAGGAAGCTACGATTTTCTTATGAAATTTTCTATGGGTCAAACACCATGTCGATAAGTGCTGTATTCCTTCTTGGCTGTCTTTTAAGCCTTCTAAACGTTTCTCGAATAGTCCTTCCTCAAATTCAGTCATTATATTAATGCGAACGTACGATGGCTGCAGCCTTTGATTTTGGTTCCCGCATTCGTCAAAATTGTGCTAATACCAGAGAATAAGTTATTTGTTTTTCTCAAGCACTATTTTTACAATTTGACGATAGTAATACGTATTAAGTCAATTTTATTTTATTTTGTATTGCCATTAGTTTTATTATTCCGCGTTTCTGTTTTCCCACAATTCTGTCATTTTGTTGACAGTGTGGTGAAAAGAGCACTTTGCGCTTTGTCAACCGTTTTTATATTTTCTTTCGTTTTTAACAATTTGTTAGGCAATCCCGATATCGTATTAGATCAATTCTTTATTTGCTTAATGGGGAATTTATTAACATCTACACATTACGAACTTTTGGTAAAAATATAGACCCGCGTGCCTTCTATAATCAAGCGCCATATTATTTCCATTCTTTACTGAGTATTTAATAAATTAACCAAGGTTGCATTTGCATTGGACAAAATATGCGACGACTGACTTTTCGCTGTCGTCATTTTTAAAATAGTATTCACATAGCAAAAAAAAAATCTACTCCTAATTATATATAATGTGTATATTTGGAAAATATCTCATATTATTATTATTCGTTTTATTAAAGGTATTTAGGATGTCTGTGCATCATTACAAACTCAAATAATAGTGAATGCATTTTGTGCATATTAGTTTTGCATATATTTAGAACAGCTGATTTTTGTTTATGTATTCATATACTTGTAGTACATAAGTCAGAACCGATATGCATAATTTTAACGATGCCAAGATATATATTGAGTGAAAAACAAAATATATTGAATACTTTTTTTGTTTATTAAACAATATGTATTTATTGAATCACTTTAAATTAAAGCCTAACAACAACTTTTAGAATCTTAAAGACAACATTACATTACAAATTATTTTATATAAACATACTATAATGAAATACAAAATGATTTGTAAATTATTTTAAGCGGCCTCCGAATAAATGGCCAGGGCATATTGAATACTGTGCTGGATTTTGCTGTTTTGGAATTAATGGGTAATTTAGATTGCCCATAGATTGCAGTTATATGTATAATAAAGCAGTACATTTATATTCATACGAAAATTAGAAATTAACTAGATGACGATGTAATAAGTGACATTTCAGTTAATTTAAGAGAAGAAATTTCCACAGTGCTTTTGTGCCGTCGTGGAATTTCGTCAATGGTTCCAAAATCTATTGAATGGTCCACTGATGTTCTCACGACTATTGATGAAAATTGATTGCGACAAATGCTACGAGTTAGGTGACTACAATTCCACAAAATTATAAATCTTTTAGCTAACGTTGAAGAGTTTACTAAATTGAATTCATCTAAACAATTTCCTGTAGAACTACAAGTTTCAGTAGTTTTGTTCAGATTAGGATCAACTGGTCAAAGCGATCCATTAAAAAAATTACAGCAATTTTTGGAATAGAAGATGATGGAACGATAATGAATATAACACGCATCGTTTTCAAGACTATTTTGAAATTATATGTTAATGCATGTGAACGTTCCCAGCAACTATGCACGAGCTGAGTTACCTTTCTGCGTTGGTAATAAAGTTGGCTGAAAGTCCCGTTAACAATCACACAACTTATTTTTCCCAACATCACGTGCACTCCATTAAAGCTCAAATTGTCAAATTGATTATAAGATTATAAGCTGCAGTTCGACATATTGTAGTAGGTCATCCAGGTAGTTAGCATGATGTAAAAATATATCGTTATAGCTCAATTTATAAACAAAAGAAAATTTTTTTTCGCATGGAGAATGGATTGCGGGTAATTCAGCATATCCTTTATCAGAATATATATTAACACCATATAGAAATAATGCGCATCAAATGAGTAGAGATTACCGAATTGATTTAAATTTGCGACATAGCTCATTTTGAGTACGTGTTGAGTACTGCTTTGGCATAATAAAGGAAAGATTTGGAAGTCTGAAAGAACTTCGGATGCGTGTCCGTATCAGCTATAAGTATGGCTTTAATTGGATTTCAGTTTGTTGTATTTTACGGTCGTGTACGAGTTTGAGTAAATTGAAATTTCCTAAAAATTTTTTCCTATGCACTTATGTACACTTATTTATTGCACTTTTTTATTACTTTTCCGTTAAAAGTTTTCAAATTTATTTATTTATTTATTAAACATTTTATAAAATTTTCACAATGGTAACACCTAATTTTTATCTAATTTACCCTACTCAAAATTCTGGTGAATACCAACATTAGCTGTCATACCGACATAATATAGTATTTCCCTCCATATTCCATCAATTTACTTGAACTCGCACACGGTCTAAGTATATAAGATAAAAATACTTACAATTGCTCTTCTGATAGTCATTTTGTTATATATTATTTAGATTAATTAATTTTTAGAGTTTACAATTTTTATTTTTTATATTGTACATAACACAACAAAAAACATATGGATTTTAAATAGTTTAAAAGTGATGCGAATTTGTTTAAATTAGACTTAATATTGCTTTTTACAACTCAGATTTATTAATCGAAAACGGCACTAGTTTGCAATAGAATTTCGTTCTTGTTAATTGTTCTTTGGTTTAGCGGAATATTAGTTCAGGGCAGCACTATTTTAGGTAGTTTATGTTTGCATTTTCGTTTAGTTTTCACTCTTCGTTCAAATGGTCTGATTTCTTTCGTTGTTGATTTTGTACAATTTCGCTTTAGCTGGACACAGCTGATTGTACCAGCAAATGAATCAAGTTTGTTGTGTTTATTGGTCGGAGGTGCTTGAGTAATGGAACGAGTAGATTTCACAATTGACAAAAAAATGGCAAACCACATTAATGGCAGTATCAAGGGATTAAATGAAAACATTACGACGAGTAAGTGAAAAATGTATGGTGCATCAACATGACAATCAATACAAATCAGTCCGTAATTAATTATTATATCAAACTATAATAGTACAAAACCATGTAATGAATATGTTAAACGAAGTCTGGTAATTATTTGTTATTAATTTGTACACATGTAATTATATTTAAATATTTTTTATTTCTATGTAATTAAAATTTTCTCTATGCGCCTAAGTGGTCAAGCGGCAATTTAAATGTTGTTAGCTTCAATGGATTTAAATTATATATTTATCAAGAGCTAAAATACAATAAGAAGTATTCAAATTAACAAATTGTATAGTTATGTAAGACTACTATTCATGTAATGTGGTATTTGCGTACTATATTATTTTTTTAATACAAAATTTTTTTCTGCATAATTTCGAAAGCCCCTTCGTTAGAGTTCAAAGTTTGCAAACAGTCAAATTATGACAAAAGCTGCATTAATTATATATATTTGTTAAACATACTTGTTGAACACAGACTTCAACTTACACATATAATTTATTAATTAGTTTCGGTTTGTTTTATATAAAAAATTATAAAATCTATTAAATTTTTCGTTGTATATCACATAATTAATTTCTTTGTGCTTTTTCAGATAAAAAAGAGATTCATCGAACAGACGACTCTTGGGAGGAAATATCTATAGAAGTGCCTTGGGGAACAGTGCAGGGTGAGTTTTTGTTATGTGTATATTCATAAGGTTGTTGCTTCTGAACAGAACTATTACTAATATAATGAATAGGTTTACGCGCAATTAAATGACCTAAAAATCATTTATATTGTCTTTACCTTTTATAAGGTAAATAACCTTTTATAATGATAAAATATGGCAGATCAGGGAAACTTTAGTATAAGTGAAGATATCTATCAATATTTTATACAATACATACTAATTAAAAAATAGTTTGTAATTTTTATACTTTATAATGCATATCAGCTCATAAATATGTTAATTATTTTATGCAAAATAGTTAAATACTCAATGACGTTGGTGTCTGCGAACTGCACGTTTCGATAGTTCAAAGTTTACCTTTTCAAGCATAAATAAATAAATTTAAATTGTTAATTTCCATCAAATCTTTTTTTTTAGCTGACTAATGATTATGATTGGTAGATTACCGAACAATATATCTTATCACAATGTAAATTAAGTTTTTTAAAATTTAATTGTATGAAAACAAATTTTCGCTTACCACTGATAACGTATTCGGCCAGCAAATGAAACAGATTTCAATGATTCAGTTATCTCGTGATATTAGACTGTCGTATAATTTTTGTGGGTAAACTTAGGTTGCTCAATTAAAAACGTTTAACAAATGCAATATATATCCTCATAATCGATCATAATCAAGGGGGACATGTTTTATATATTTTTCGAACAATAAATGATATAATAGATATTGAACAGAATTTGATGTTATTATTGTTTTAGTTCGATTGGTGGTCATCAGCGATTCTTAGTCGTTGTTGTAAACCGTGAGAACCTGTAAGCAGATAACATGAATAGGTTTATAAGACGATTACATGGGTGAAAAAGTAAATGGGAAGTGGTTGGGGGTGATGGAGGGCGAAATGAGAAGTGTTGTATTCCGTTGATAACTGTAAGCAGATAACATGAAAGTTATACAAGACGATTACATGGGTGAAGAAGTGGATGGGTAGTAGTTGGAGGTGATGGATAATAAAGGGTAGATTGGCTGGGTGCTATTTAATTAAATTCAGACACAGAAACCTAGCCACTTCAATGGAGTGGGTCCAAAAATCAATTGGACGGAGGTTTGTGTGTGTTGTAGGACAGGAAAACCGATGGGCGACGTCATGGGTAGTAGTGCTGCAGTTTGGGCATATATTAGGTATAAACACGTTTATGCGTAACAAGTAACTGTATAGCACCGGCTGTATTCGGATCTCAATTGAGTTAGGACAATTCTTACATCCTAGGGAGACGTTGTTCTTCCAGGTAAATGTCATCATTTAAAATCTATCAAAATGAAATATGTCTCTTACGTGCAGCATGAAACGTACTTATTAAATTGGATTACATATATAGCCACGAGGTTAATAGTTCCTTGCCATGCATAGAATTTGTCTGTCACCAATGTAGGATCTTTACTCTATAATGATTTCTGTCGTAGTTGTGGGTCTATGAATGAGGAGAAAATTACACTCCACCTCATGTGCCAGTGCTTTTTACGGGCTATAAGAAGATTTAAAATATGCAAGGCTTCAAAATATACAAGTCCCTAAAGATTAGGTACTTGTCCACTTTTACTTTAATGGGATTATCGTTCCCTTCGGCATTGCTCGTACGCTGTAGTCTGCGTATGTGAAGCGTTTCATAACGAGCTATTATTTAAATTCAAGTAAGCTTTGAGTGCAAGGCCGCCACTCTAACTTATTCTTATCAATCGTGACATCTAACTGTATATCTACTCAACAAAACAACGCTTATCTGTTTTTTTTTGTCCAAATGCACACGTAATCTCGATTCTGTTCATTTATATTACTAAGATGGCTAGATTCATTAACCTTAACTAAGGTTAGGCTTTATAATCCCACCTAATACTCACCTCTATTCCCATCCCACTTCACATATTTTTCATATAGTTTGTTTTTTGAATCCAAATAGATAATAAAAAAAAACAGCAATAACTATGAGTGATTCCGTAGATTGGACCGTTCCTGAAACTAGCAGAACTTCATTGATTATTTTAGTGATGAAATAATTTTTTTATCTTCACTGCTTTTATGCGGGAATACTACCCCCATTTGCCCTGAATCCTGGCTACGCCCATATATGTATATATATGAAAATATGTTAGAAAATATTATTAATAGCTGAAACGTTTTCGTCATGCATTTTATTATTATTTGTAAATTTAATTTAAAAGTTAAAATAAAAATGTTTACTATTAATATATTATGATTCCCAAAAATGTTATATTCTTAAAATCTCGATTAACGAAATAATTTCTCGAACTGAATGTTATTCATTGCAACTTGTTTTTTTTCAGGTCTCTCAAGTGCTTCTTAATTTTATATCAAACGATGACATCCAAAAACAATAGTCACATTACTTCTATTAGGAACCACTAAATAAATGTAAGCCACATTTATTAGACTATGGAAACATATGTGTACACTAAGTTAGTGATACTTTTTATTCGAAATTAATATTGCTCTGATATTTAATTACTTATAAATTTAACGGATGTATCCGGGCTTGACTAGATTCTGGTTTTTCAAACATACCCATTTGACAATGGATTTTAGTAAGCTATTTTTTTTAACTGTCCTATATTTCCATAGAGCATAGTTTTTTAAAAATATCGGGCCTTGAAATTAGACATTTCTGCATGAAAACGATTAACAATGAGTAGAGATATTGCTTATTATTAAATTGTTACACGATGAGTTCTTATTGTTACTTACTGTTTCTGTAATCAATGTAATAATTTTATATAATATTTGCTATTAGATAGCATGTGTTGTTTTTTTTATTAGTGTGATCCATGTAAAAAGTCTAATTTCTATATCTAAGCCCGGATATAGCTTAACGGAAAAAATTGTCAAAATAGCTGATACTACTAAAATTCGTTGTCAGAAGGGGTTTGTCTGAAAAGTCAAAACTGCGCTAGACTTTGTTTATTAAAACTAAAAGTAATGGGATGCTAACTTTTGAATTTAATCCATGTTGCAATGCCTATAAAGACAAGTTTATTGCATTAAACTTTATATCTGATTAAGTATACTATGTGTAATGGTTCCAAGAGTGGCCGGGTCTACGTCCCGGAGCCACTCGTCATTATCGATGACCAGGTGTCGTTCGACACCTTCCAAAGGGATCTCGCAAGAAGGTCCCAGCGGGCTCGTTTAAATGTTATAATATGGAAGTTTTGTTACGATATGCAATGAGCTCATGTTTAGTGGTATTTGGTTTGTATCAAATGCCTTTAGCATCAAATTATTTGTAAAGAGGTTTTTCGAAAAGTAATAAACTACAACAACAAAAATTTATTTTTATTATTATTTTAATTAATTGAGTTTTTGGCTGACCATACAGCTGGTTCGAGTAAATACCCATCATCAGTGTTCTTGGAATTATTTCTTGTATTTTTTTTATTCGTAAATAATTTTTTGAGACGCAAATACCAAGGGTTGAACTCGTGCCCTGCCAAATTTGAAACCTAGAATCAGCGTTCATCAGCCAACTGACAATTTGGCTATAAGGCAATTATTTGACAAATCAAATAATTTGTTAATTAATTGTATAATGAGATTGAGTTAACTTATCTTTCAATGATTTTGCGATGAGATTAAAGCCGTCTAAGTACTTAATTTTCCTTTAAATTTTAAGAATCATCAAAACCACAACTTTTATGTTTAGTTAATTTAGGAAAATACAGAAACATTATTTTTTATTTTTATTATTTAGGACATAAGTTAGCCAGAAATATTTATTTGTGCTAGTTAAATGTAGTTAGTTCTTAATTAAGCTTATGATATATTAAAAACTATAAATTTTTGTTTATTGTAATAAAATAAGTATAATATAAATATTGTCTTTGCAGGAAAATGGTGGGGATCACGCAACAAACAGCCAATAATAGCGCTACATGGATGGCAGGATAATTGTGGAACATTTGATCGTCTATGTCCGCTAATGCCTGCAGATATTCCAGTATTTTGTATTGATTTACCTGGACATGGTAAGTCTTCACATTATCCGCAAGGTATGCAGTATTTTATATTTTGGGACGGCATATGCTTAATAAGGCGAATTGTTCGAAAATTTGGTTGGAAACGAATTACCCTAATGGGTCATTCTTTGGGTGGTGCGTTGACTTTTATGTATGCGGCGAGTTTCCCTTCTGAGGTTGAAAAATTGATAAACATAGATATAGCTGGACCTACTGTACGCAGCATTGAACGTCAGGCTGAGATGACTGGCTGGGCACTGGACAAATTTTTGGATTATGAAGAATTACCAGAAAGCAAAATGCCTTGTTATTCGTACAATGAAATGATTAAATTGGTATTAGATGCGTATGAGGGTTCTGTTGATGAAGCATCTGTTAGGATACTCATGAAACGTGGTATGGCACCAGCGCCAATTCATCTTAACAAAGACGGCTATCATTTTGCACGAGATATACGTTTGAAAATAAGTTTATTAGGAATGTTTACTGCTGATCAGGTGATGGCATATGCAAAACGAATAAACTGCAAAGTACTTAATATACGGGGAGATCCAGGCATGAAATTTGAAAATCCTCAAGTATACGAAGAGGTAATTAGCACACTAAGACAAAACGCAGAACTTGTGATTTATAAAACGATACCTGGAACGCATCACTTGCATCTGGTGACGCCAGAACGAGTGGCACCACATATTAATAGTTTTCTGTTAAATCACTGAAGAGGCTATCTATATTTACATTCACATTCACATAGGAAATAATAGTTAATATGATGTCTAATGTTAATATTAAAATAAACAAAATACCTATATGAGAAAGTAGAATCAATAAGTAATAATTTGTATTTTTTGGTGGGATACATGTAATATAATATAAAATTATAATTCAATATGTCAAAATGATCAAATAAAAAAAAATTCCAGTAATGTAAATTAAATTTTGTTTTGTTTTGTATGTCAGTGCGACCAAAAATCGGTTACCTGGAAACAGTCAATCGCAAACAAATACTTATGTCAGAAGTTTATCGGACCTTAAGTTGTCAAAAGCAGTTTTATTGATTTAGCAAGTTTATTAAATATACTATAGAAAACAAATAAATCATGAACCAAGACGATGCCATCAAAAGTATTTTAGAGAAATATAATCGAGCGGAAATAGAAGAAAATAAAAAACTGGATGCAATGTGAGTTAATATTTGGATTTAATAAGAGAATCATATTAAAATCGTAAACAAATGTAGGAAGTGATTTGTTACTAAACTGATATAAAAATATATACAGATTATACATATGTAAGTAAATCCTCATTTGTTCTTGAAGGCCTGAGCTTTCCGGTTGAATTTGGACAAGCGTTCTTAACGATCTAGTGTATTTTTACAAATATAAATGGTTAAATACTAAACCAGAATTTATGTATGAGCCAGGACTAGCTTATTAAGACCTGAGTTTAAGTAACTAATATTTTTTTATATATACAGTAGAACTCCCTTAATGCGGGTCCATTAAAATAGGGATCAATTCATATTGCTGTGGCATACGGACTGCGCGAGTCATATTAATAATCTAGTAAAAGTCTTAACAATAGAAAGAAAAGAAAAATGGAACAATAATCTATTACTTGTGAAATTAATCCATAAATCAAATGATAAAAAGAGAAATAAAGTCAAGAAGCAAATAGTGAACAAAGTATACAGACGAACAAGAGTATATAGACCAATATACATGCGAGTAACAACTCATATATATATTGTGGGATGTTTGGACAGCGCACCGTCCAGCAAATGGCCCCATTGTAGTGAAGGATTAGCCTAAGTAGACAACGAAACGACTTGGATCCTTTTTCTTCCTTCGATTTTCGGATGTTGTTATTGAGTTAAAGCTAGAGAGGCTTTCATTCGCATAACTACATCTCTTGTTATTAGAAGCAGCTCATTTGGCTTGAGTTTGCCTGCCAAGTCATTACCAACCCAATGGTGTCCCAAGACAGTCATCCTCCTGCTTGCCAGTGCTTGACATTGGCGCAATATATGCATCGATGTTTTCTTTTCTTCTAGGCATAGCCTGCAAGTGTCTTCCTCATCAAGAGTTTTCTTTTTGCGGTGATATTTGAAGTTTCCAAATCCAGTAATCAATGAGATCAGTCAGCTTAGAGTGCTCCGCGGATTGCAAAGCACAACCCATATATTTTTCTAGATCATTGGGTGGACATGTCCATAACAAGTGATTCGTATTAATAGGTAAATGGTTGATCCGGATTATAAAGTATATAATGTGTATTTTGCATTTTCTTTATTTTGTGCAAATTTTGTAGAAACTTAAATTACCTGAGATTTGGACCAACGAAGATCTACTATATATATAATATGAGAATATAAATATATAAGAGAATTTATTCTCTCAAAATATTCTATATTTGGATTCTGATAATAAATTTTATTTGTTTTCATTTACTTTGGAAATAGTTATATTGGCGTAACAAAGTAACGGTCCCGTGAGAAGGGTTCTAAAGAATGTCTGTATAATGCTTTTATAAAAACATTTATAAGCATAATCAAAAAAGAAAACATGGAGTACTGTCCCTCCATTTTCGTTAAAAGTGTCCCCAAAGTGTAATATTTCATACCATGCCACTTTCTAAAAGTGTTCTCCAGTATATGTAAAACAGTTTATATCAAGATTTCTGATTTTAATGTGAAGACCTTTTATTTTTTTTAATAGAATTAAATTCATAAATAGGATATATGTAGTAATACATATTAAACGTTGAATATTTGAATGAATCAGAATAAATTTTTATTTTATTTCTGATTTAAAAAAATAACGAATCCTGGTTTCGCTCATGTTCTCAAGTTATAATTACACTGTGCGACGGCTTGTGCCTCATAGAGAGAAGTAGATCAATGGGTAGGTGATCAGTGCGCAGTATATCGGGTGGAAGGTTATGGGTTGAACTTCAACAATTCTGGTTCTCAAAGGAATAGAACATTTGTCGAATAGGGAAATTAATGAATTTTTTTTATACATAATTTTTAAATCCCTATATATATATTTTATTTTCTTTTTTACTATATATAACAAACTTATTTATAATAATAATATTTCATATTCGTACATTTATTTAATTGTTATTCGACTAATGAATGAATCGCCAAATACATTAAGAATACTCAGACTCAGCTCGGAAATTGGCATTCGCACTGATAGAATAACAAACGTCTGGACGTCTCTGATTTGATTATTTCTCGGTAAAATTGTAAAATTAAACCGTCAAAGCAGCTGTTCTTCTGTCGCCCCTGGTTTAATTATTTCTAGGTAAAATTATAAAATTAAACTGTCAAAGCAGCTGTTTTTATTTTGTCGAGAAAATTGTAAAAAAAGTGGGAAAATAAAATATTAAAATAAAACCCGTTTTTTTTTAGGTATTTATTAATTTTTTTTATGCGGTCGAATTCCCATAACTCGAAGAAAAGATTCGATTTATTAAGACTTCGAGTTAAAGAATATTTTGGTAATTGTATGTAATTTGCTCTCTAAACAGTGTTGCACTCTATTTAGTTCTCTGTAGAGTACTGTAGAGTTATATTCTGTAGAGTACCCAATATATTTTAAGACTTGATGCTTTGGTAATTCGGTTACATAAAATTTAATTACTTTATGGAGTTACCGAGTATGTCTAATTACACCCCAATTATTATTGTTGTTAGTTAAAATACATATATAAGCCCATACTCAGAGAACCATCTCTAGGGAACCAGCATTATAAACGGACAGACGGTAAATCTAAATCTTAAATGTTTTTGAAGAATTTTTTTATAATTATAACTTTTATCTCTTATTTTATATATTTATAGAATAAGAACAAATATACATTATATATTAAATATATATTAAGCTGTCTCGTTTTCTCTGATCTTTTTAGAGAACTACTACATAGATTTATATTTATATTTCTAAAAATTGTTAAGCAACCATTTGGACTATAAAAATATATTTTTTATTTAATATAAACATTTTTAAAATTTAATTATAAATTTGTATCTAGTATAACAAACTATCTATGAATTGAAGGGGGTATACATACTATATAATACCGCGGAAATTTTTTAATTCAAATATTTATTTTTTAATCAAGTGAATTTTGAAAATTTAGATCCTGGGTTTGTGAATTAACATGCTAAGCTAATGCACACTTAATTTGAGTTTAACAAATGTCGAGTATTGGTAACGGTGTCGTGGCTTCTTTTCTTTTTCTGTGCTTTTTTTTAATACTAACCCATGAGCCACTGCTATATAGATTTACCTAACTATTATAAATTAGTTTATAGATGTCTTTGTAGGGGTCCGCTCTACGTTTCACTGGAAACCATAAAATGTGCATCTATCTTTACTTTCTTCATCTAACTAATAACAGATGAAACTCAATTTTAACATGTGTAACACTTGGGAATCTATTTAAATGGACTGCAACAATATTCATAGGTTAACGGTAATACTTTCAGTTCACTGGCGTATCCCATAGGAGTTTACGTACAGATATTACGCATGTTTTTAGATAGTTATTGACGAAATTGTGGGAACTTAGACGAGAAGTCACACGTTTTCCTGTTATTGTCTGGCTTTGGCATTTAAAAAGATGGGTTTTGGAGAAGGACGGGTAAGGATGGGTAAGGACGAAAGATCTTTGGAACTACATGAACTCCAGAGGACTGCTTTAATATCATCCATTAGAATTTCTTGTGGGGGGATGTGGTTCGAAAATAGAGAGTTATATTCAATGTGAAAAGGGTATCTATTGAATTTGATGAGGTTACTGTAATAATTGTCTGATATCATAAACTAATTCACTGAAATAGGTGAGGAAAAGAAGAAAAACCAAATAAACATAGTCATAAAGGTTTTCTGTGTAGACTTGATGAAGGTAAAGTTGTTAGCAATTGTGTGGCCAAGAGATTGTGGTAATTATTATTTGTAATTATATTTGATTTTGATCAGTTTATCCTTGAATTTTGGATCCCACAATCTTCATAAATGAATAAATGTGGTTCATGTGGTCATGTAAAATCATTATCTGTGGTAAACAGTGTATTAGTAATATGAAAAGATATTTGTTACTTCTTTTTTATTTTTAGTTCAGTGGATCATTTTCTTTAGGGGGTTTTAATTTTCAATGAGTTTCGAATACAGAGTTAATATCCCTAATATATGAGTACTTTTGCAACAGACTAAGCATCAAAAACACTTAATTATGTCACAATATTTTTTAATATTTTTCTAAAAATGTATTGACTTGCCCCGGTATGTATCTATTTGCCATATAGATTGTTCTCGCTATGCGTACAATGGTATCCTAAGCCATGTAATGATTTTACTATTTTAAGTAGGAATAGTGAGTCAATTTCCAGTGCAGCTGATAGCACATTCACAGTCCCTTATTTAAGTAGTTGCTCATTTATATTAATAATTAAGCATTCACATTTTAATGAGCTCATTTATGCACTTAGTAGAACTTTTATAAACTTCACTTAATAAAATATCACACAAAAAAATTAAATTTATAATTGAAATATTCATATATAAAATGACAATCAATTATATATTCAATTAATAAAACCGAAATATTTATTCTTCCTTTCTCAATGCCTTAGTTTATAGTTCAGCTGTTGTGGGAAATTTATTTTTAAAGGGGCGCATTCAACAGTTTTCCTTTCAATGAGCTGATTTATTGATAATGAGCTAATTTATAAGAAAAATTTTTGTGTGGTAATTCATCCTCATTAGTGGCTATAATGAGCAAAACCGCCTAAATGAGGCAGTGTGAATGTGCTATAAAACTACTTATGTTAATGAGATTAAGATTTGGCATAAATTGATTTGTGCATGTGAAATTTCTAATTTTTTTAAATTTTCATTTAAAATATATGACAAATATTTAAAATTTTGCTAATTTCTCTTGTGAAAAAATTTATTTTTAAGGTTGCATACATTTTTCGCCTTAAATGAGTTGATTTTTTTATAATGAGATTATTTATATGAAAGCTCTTTGTTTGGTAAATTATCCTCATTAGCAGCCTCAATGAACAAAACTGCCTAAATAAGATAAGTAGCAACATGGTATTATATGTATCAGTAAATCCTTCGTTTCTATTACCAATAAAGCAAATCAACGAAAACGCATAATAAGTTTAAACGAGAGATCCATAGCGCACACACATCAATTTTTGAAAAGCTGTTTACTTTCCGATTTCGCATAGTTCCCTGTTCTAATAATCTTAATATAAGTATGGATATAAAAATTAACGACATGTGTTAGCCAGCAGATTTATGATATGTAGTGTCCACAGCAATGTTTACCAACAAGCACTAAAAAATTACACAAACATCTTTTGTTTAAATTTGGGTTTAAAAATAAAAATAATATTTTCTAGTATGTTTCTAGATATGAAACCTCTCTTAGGAGATTTCCGTGCCTAACTTAATTTGGAATATGAATTTGTACTGAGATTTTAAAATATTTGCATATATTTATCACATAATAAAACAAACTTGAAATTTCAGAAAAAAGCAAGAAAAGAGTTTGGAAAAATTAAATACATTACAGTCAGCATATTCTAACAGCAAGATTAAACAACGATTGGATTGTAAGGAAACCATAATATATAATGCCGATATCATAAAGGTAGTATATACATTTTTAAAAATATTAATTCAGTAATAAATTGTTATGATACTTTTGTACAGTCCTTAGAAATGGCTAAAGCGCGCCTACGTTCCCGATCGGTTTACTCACCACTTGAGCCGATATTAGAGAAAGCTATTAATAATTATAAAAAGGATTTAGTTTTATGTTGTGCCGATAAAAATTTAAATAATTCAACTCATATAATCGAGGAAGAAACGTGAGATGCAGATCAATTTTGAGATGAACATGAAGACTAGTCAAGTATCTGTTTGACTGCGACGAATACCAAAAACATATTTAAAAACTACTCATCGCATCAGTTGCTCTTATGGTACACCAATAATTGTATAATAAAATGTATCGCACAATTTAATACTACAATCTCCCTTGAGAGTTTACTCAGTTGGTTCCAGTGTCAATATTTAATGGAATGATTCAAATGAAAAATTTCGGCCAAATTTATTTAACGCTGTGCACATATTTATACAATACAAATGTCATAACGTATATGTACTATGATATGACTATATGTACTATAAAATAAAATAAAAATAATTGTAAAATTTTAAGAGTTAGACGATTTTATTCTTAAAGTCTCAATATTTTTATAATTTTTTTACATTGCATCTGATACTTTTATTTTAGTCAGGAAATATCTCTCTAAGTTGATAAAAGACATGTGCGTATCGATTTTAAATATCATATTATTATTGAAAAGAAGGGAAAGTGCACTACGACCTAAAAGATCTATTGTGTCTTTTAGTCGGATTAGAGTGTTTCTTCAAGTCCGATTTGTTTAATGAAAGACAGTATAAAGCTTATCTTTTCTAGTCTTGGATCCTTATGATCCATGAAATACCATCCTAGGTGTTTCTTCTGCTTGTGCATCAGTGCCGGGCACTCTCCAAGCACATGCTATGCAGTGTCTCTCTATTTTTAACTTCGATAGATGATTATTTAATGTCAGTGATCGGTCAATAATCCCGTAATTATTCTTAGGTTATTTTTGATTGTGGTATGCAATTGTTAAAGCGTTTTAGGTTGTAAATCCCTTAAAGCATTTTTAATTGTGGAATATCATATAAAAATTTAAAAACTTTGTAGACAAAACCTAGTAAATCTTAAACTATTTTTTTTACTAATACAAGTTCACTTTCATATCAATAAAATGATTAAATTTATTTAAACTAATTATTTTTTAGTGGCGATTAATTAAAACATTAATATTTAAGCAAATGTTTAACCTTTTTACATATAATCAATTCTTTAGTATTATAAGCAGCACAATCGAATTGCTATTAGTATGCCTTCTTAAATTTAGGGTTAATATATTTTGTATCAAAAATCTCGCCAAATACAATGTGATAAAATCTCTTTTATACCTTTTAAATACCATATTACAAAATAGTGCTACAAAAGATCATTTTAATGACATTAAATGTATTAAAATTTGTTCTTTTTAAAATTTTTTTTTAATATTCATAATTTTACAAATTCAACGTCTGTTGAACACAGAAGGAAGTTCTTCCACAAATCATGTGATGTGATGTTTTGCTTCATTTTGTTGAAACATATAAAAATTTTTAGTTAGTATTAAAGTTAATCTGGACTGAGCTTATTTTAATGACTTGATTCTCCATCAACCAGAAAATCATTTTGTGCAGTTTTTTTGGTGCTTGAATGGATATAATTCTGAACGATATCTGCTGACAATCGTACCTATAGCCATAAAAACTATTTTCCCATCTCATATATAAACATGAAATGTGGAATGAGTATGTAAGGTTTAAGGTACTCCAGTTGACTTGTGTATCAAATGTGACAATCCTTTTTGAGTAAGGATGTAATGCATAAAAACCTGATTCTACCATAAATTTACAATATCATAATACTTCGTTAGACACAACAACATCTTATTATTTTTTAAATGGTTGTAAGATTTTAAAGATAGTTACGGTATACAATTTTCTACCGTGCGAATACAGAGTGTATACATCCAACACATCCATCAATCTCTATTAAATATTTGTTCGAGAATTGATGAAGTTTAAATATTATGTATTGTGTTTATAGTTGACAATCAAATAAGTACGAATTGGAGAAAATGTTATCAGGTGGTAAATAAAATATTGGAAAAAAAACATAACGTTTATTTCATCGACTATGATGTGATGTTTTGGTGTTCCATCTGTTGCTCACCATTTGAAGATGGTGAGTTCAACGTTGTCTTCGTCTGCATCTCTGCATTTCGAATAATTTGCTTTGCTAATGCAGAAAAGGTACTTTTGAAAATATCCATGACCATAAATGAATTGGATTACAATATTTAGTTAACTTCGCCAGTTTATCTGTCTGACCATTTCGATACATCTGGGATTACACCTATCGGGATTAAAACTCCACAATATCAAAATATTATGTGTTGCGGAGTTAAGTTAAAATGTAGGTTTTAATACCAGACAGTAAAGAATGTAAATATTTAAAATAATATATTGATTTCATTAAATGGATGTATCCGTATTTTAGAGAAAAATCAAAAAGTAATTGACGATGCTATGGAAATTAGTATTGATTAAAAAGAAAAAAATGAGTATATATCTAAATAATAATTATATACATAATATATACAGACATTGTAAATATACAGAAATTTGGAATATATCACATATATATCACATAAAATTTATGATCACATTAATTACCCAACAGAGCTTACTGTTAATAATATAATTCAAAATTTTGGTTCCAATGTTAGAACTTGGGTATTTGTAGAGAATATATAACATATATTACAAATAATTGTCCATAAACTTTTAGATTTGTATTTCATGCTTTTCAAAGGTTTAGATTAATTTCAGATTTATTAATTCAAGAATATGAGCAAGTTTGCTATTACCTATTTTCTCCTTTATCCAAAGGGTCTTTTGTATTATTTTATATTAATAATCAAAACGGATGCATGTCGACAAATCTAACGTGATAACATCGTTTATATAATTTCTAAATTTAATATTTTAGATAGTGTTAATAATAGCATTTAAACAATTTTAAATACATTTGTTCCTTTTAAAATTTTTAATTGACATCCATGATTTAATCGGTGTTCTTCTGATCTCAAGGCGGTAAGTACAAATTGGAATCAGATTTCATTCCAAAATTAAAAGATTATTAGGTGATAGTTTGAAATTCGGAGATAGCAACTAAAATTTGCTTCATATTATATATTCCTTTAAGTTGTAGTAAAATCTTCTCAAGTTAGTTTTTCATCGATGATTACATCAAGTAATTTTGCTTTAATATTGAAGTTGTAATAGTTGGTCACTATTGGAAATAGATCGCATAGCTGAAATACTTATAACTTTAGCCGATTTTTATACGAATGCAAAAGGTTTCAGCATAAATATTTAAGTAAAGATAAAGACGATCAATCAAAAGTTTCCCTGCCATATCATTATAACCAGGTGGTTATTCTTCTATATTAATTTCACTCGTTATTGTCGTCCTGTCATTATCTCGTTGACATTTACCCTTTTTAATGTGGTTTAAATTCAGTTGAGTTTATAAATTATTAGCTGTATTTTTTCTTTGAACAGGAAAGAGTCATACTGACTGAATCGTTAAATCAGACATTTTGTTCCAACAAAACGGCGCAACTTGCCATAGAGCACGCTTAACAATCGATATATTGCGAAATCAATATGGAAACAACTTTATATCCAGAAATGGTCCTGTTAAGTGACCAACTTACTCCCTCGTTCGTGTTATTTAACGCCTCTCGATTACGTTTTCTGGGCGTATGTTAAGTCATTGGTTTATACCGACAACCGAATAACCAGTAACTCTTGAAGCTTTAGAAGCAAATGTGGTAATGTTCATGCTACCATTGAACAATTTGAATCTTTTTGGGCAGACACCTCTTTAACCGGGACGCGGACACAAAATTTTTGCTTAATTGTGTAAAATAGCCTTTTTGGCCGGACGTGAACTTCTAATAACAGACAAAATAAACAATGAAGAGTTAAAAAAAAAACTTAAGGTAATCAGGCAATCGAAATTGGGGACTTTCTACATAAATGGTGTTGCGCTTTTCAATATGATAGTAGTAGTTTCGTTAGTAGTGATTCTGAAGGTCTAACTGATCGACATCATGAGATATACATAAAAAAAATGGAGTTCATTGCTATTGCCAATTTGAAGCGATTTTGTATGAACGATTTTTGAATATGTTATATCAAAAAATTGGAAAATCATCTGCAAAATGGGTTTTTTCAACAAAAACAACAAAACTTATGTTAATCTATCATTTTAGAATTTTTCAAGAAGTGAGTTTTATTTTTTTTTTTTTTAATTCATAGGTAAATTTATAGGAGGTATAAATAGGTAAATAGGAGGTCTATTTAAAACTTTTTGAAATGTATCAAGTTTTCTTTTCATTGTCAGATAAATGGAATGAAATAAACATTTTAATAATAAATTTAAAAAAACCAAATTTTTTATTTAAATATTACTTAATCTTAATTACTTGATTCAAATCAAAATAAATGAAAAAAATAAATTCACCACGCTCTTAACCGGACACCGCTCTTGAACGGACAAAAATTGGCTGACGTGTCTCTGGGTGTCTGCACGAGAGAGTTTTCACTGTATTACTATTTAGTAAATAGTAATTTAGCTACTACTATTTATCTCTCTATATCTTAATAACTATACATTAGTTATATGTAGTAACTGCTATATATAGTAACTGCTATATGTAGTAACTGCTATATATGTATAGTAACTGCTATATATAGTAACTGCTATAAGTAGTAACTGCTATATATAGTAACTGCTATATGTAGTAACTGCTATATATAGTAACTGCTATATGTAGTAACTTTATTTAATTATTATGGTATCCCATATAAATGAATTAAAATGTTTTAAATAATTTATTACACTTCACGTTAATTTACTTGATTGACAAAGACGTTAGTAAATATTTTTTTCTATAACATGATTTTAACATTACATTAAAAATAAAATATATCTCATATGGCAACAACTAATATTAAAAATACTGATAATAATAAAATTGTAAAAGATAAATTAATGAAGAATTAATAAAACCAAATTGAACATTATCGCCGTATTTTTATTTTCTCCGGAAAAATTATGAACGTATGTATTTATTTCTGAGGCACACCAACCTATTCAGTCATTTGTATTGGTCCGCGTTCAATCTGATCTGGACAGGCCTGATCTATATCACTGGTATTCATTTCTTAATTACGTTTCTTTAATGATTGAGAAATAAATAGGTTTTTGAAGTTCTATGCTTTTTAATAATTTATACGAGGATGAAGTCATATTTCATATACATTGTGACCGAAAAGTTTCCGGAAATAAATAAATAAAACGCAAAATTCTTAATCTTCATCAATATTTATTTTATCTCCTTCAAAATATGCTCCATTAGAAGCGATACACAAATGCCAACC